GTTGTTGTTGTTGTTGTTGTTGTTGTTGTTGTTGTTCTTGTTCTTGTTCTTGTTCTTGTTCTTGTTCTTGTTCTTGTTGTTGTTGTTGTTGTTGTTGTTGTTGTTGTTGTTGTGTTTCTCGGGGTGCTACTTCTGCGGCCGAAAAATTACGAGGCCTAGGGATCAGGAGCACGCATACCGTGAGAGCTGGCCAGATGTTGTTTGTTTTGTGATGCGTTTGATATTGTTGTTTGTTCGAGTTCGTTCCGGAACCACCCAGGCTTGAATCGACGCAGCAACCAGGAGACGACGTGCTGCGCCTACGAGTTGTTGACTCGCTGCGGTTGAACTTCTTTCCAGGGTTTGGTGTTTGGGTGAAGGTGCCCGTGATCGTGATCGGTTTGTATCGAAGGTTTCTTGTTTCATGAGTGTTATTGTTGTAACGGGGAAGGGCCGCTGAAAGCGAAGGCAGTTGATCTCCTGGGTGGTCAGTTTGAAAGACGGGCCGTACTGTAGATAGGGTGGTGCTTGAAAAAGCTGCTGTAGCGTAACAGAGCATGTGGGTCTCGCGCACAATGGCAATCACGAGCACCATCGCAACATGTGTTGGTATGATGTGATATGATGTGGTTCAAGCACCTGTCATGTCCGCATAATTCCACATAATATCGTTTTTCTCTTCTCTAGTCGCCTGGACCCCACCCCTCCCCCCCCCAAACCCTTAACCCCCTTAAACCCCCCCTCCCCCCCGGATTCGGGGGTGTTCCGGGCGAGACGAGTAAAGCCATTTCATGGAGGCTGTCATTGTTCTTGCGCCCCGGGGCCCGGGCCCGCTTGGTGCAAGAAAAACGATGTCCCCCATATTCCCCCATGTCCGAGAAGTGATGCAGTTGAAACCGCGACACGTGTCATCATCACTGCCGCAGGCAAGGCAGCGAGCCGGACAGATACAACGAGATCTGACTCAGGACAATGGAGTCTGCTCGCAAAGCACCTGGTTGCAGCATGCTGGTGATTCAAAGCGTAGATTACGCATGGCTACGCCCTTAGCCCCTCCAAGTTCCAGGAGCTTCAGTCCAGCAACGCCCGGCGCGTTGAAGCGGAACTGCGCTTGCATCAGGCAGGGGTTGCAAGGCGTCCGGATTCGCTACTGGACTCCGCACGAAGGAGTGCGAACCTGACTGTCCCGGTCGCAACTATCTTCCTTGCATGGGTCGGACAAAGATTCCTTCCGGAACTATCGAAAGACCCCAGTGGATCATTTCATGGCCAGGCATATTCTGTTGTTTTCATACTGTGTGCACACTATTCCAGCGCAATTTGCGCCACTATCTCCCATACAGTATTCCACTTAGACTTTTTGCATGGGGCAGCTGGGGAAGCGGGGCATGCTGGAATCCTCGTGTTTTCGATAGTTGCTTTCGGCTTGTATGCCGTGCCAAGGGCAGTTCTCCAACCTTGAGGCACTGTCCAGCGACATTCAGCGCTCAACCTTCATTCAACTCTTTTGGATTCGGTTGGGTTGTAACTTGTCACTGGGAGCATTCGACACTGTGAGGCGGAAGAGTCTGCCGCGATGGCTGGTGAAGACCTGTGCGGCTCTCGGACTAGCCCACGGAGCTGTCCCTAAATCGACAAGCCTCATATATAGTCATAGTCATCTAGTGGTGTGCTGCAATTCCCATTGCAATCGTGACATCGGACCATGTCAACCACTGTCTGTTTAAGGTAGAACACAACACATGCTGCGGACACTCTGCTCTAAAAGGTGGTTTGACAGTCACGGCGACATTCTGCTGATAATTATGTACTGATGGGCCTAGCTGCACAAGTTCCGACAGGATCAATTTGCACAAGTTTCCGCATGATCAAATTGCAAGAGTCACTTCACATTGACTTTTCGGCATCCTTGCAGAAGGTGTGCCACGAAGATTGACATGATCCGATTGCGTGCAGCCTTGGATGAACACCGAAGCTTGGTTGCAGTCCAAAGATGCATGAGGAAGATTCTTACGTCATGCCGCCTTCTTCGGTTGAATAACCGCAGCGAAGATGGCCGGAACAGTGCATGTTTTGTTTACCGCCTTGGCTTGCCCTAGGACGGCTGCAGCAGTCGTGCCCTCAGCTTGCCCCGAGCGGCCTTGCCTGTATCTTGGAGTGCTTATTAGACGGAAACTACTCGAAGAGGCGTGTACCCACATGTGAGTACTCCTGCCTTGCTTCCAGGTCGCAGTTTTTCAATCTAAGCCGCGGCAACGGCTACCGCACTTGAGCTCGACGGTAAGGTGGCACATTTTGGGCAAGTTTACGGTCTCCAAGTTCAGGGTTGATTGGACTCAGGTTGTATTTCGGCATGACATTGTGGTGACTTACTTGTCGACCTGCACCGACTTCACTTCAACTGACATCACATCGCTTGGTGGAACAGATCCGTACGATGCCCGAGGTGACCGTCTTTATGACAGGTTGCATTCTCACTGCGGTGCATCGTCGTTCCTTCCAGAGGTCCAGGTCCCTATGCCAGAGGCGTTTTCGTCTTTGGAACCTGTCGGATAGGAAGGCCGGCTGAGTTTGGGGCTTTTCTGGCAGCTTCTGATGCAGGCTCGACGGCGAACCTCAAACGACCACACATGTCTTTCTCGAGCCACCTTGTATATAGCAATTCAACAAATGCCACGGCATACCCTCGGGCTGCTTGCAAACGCAAGCTCCCCAATCTCACCCGAGACGGGCTAGGCCCCATGTTTCCTGGATCTTCATGCAGCATCTCAGGCTGCTTTCTCTTCTGGGCCTTACTTTTGTTCGTGCTGCAAGACATCAATCATGGATTGCACTGCCACTGCCATCGGCGCCAGCAGCACCATTCTGTTGCTGCCACATCCACATCTACTAGTAGCACAAGCGTTCTAGATTATTTACCGCATGTTCATTTGTTGTAGCTGCTGCTCCTACCAGTACTGGGGCCATTGCCAGGTCGATCTTAGTGACCCCCGAAGCCCGTCCGCGTTCAGCGTTCTAGACTCATCGCGCGTTTAGAAGCGCGTTCTAAACTCAGCTAAGATTGTGCGTTGGGCTTAAGTTAAGATATAGATGTTACTAGGAGGTTAAGTAAGTTAGCTAAAAAGTTAACATAAGTTAACTTAAGTTAGCATAAGTTAACATAGGTTAACATAAGTTAACATAAGTAGTAACAAATGCCGAAACGGAGAAACAACAACAATGGAGACGCAAAGTGGTGTGGGTGGTGTGGGTGCTGTGAGTGGTGTGGGTGGGTGGTGTGGGTGGTGTGGTTGCTGGTGGTG